AATGACAGCACCAACAATAGGGAATACAAATCATCAGTAGTACTTCCATACAAGGAAGGGACCTCGGAAACCTCACGGAGAATTCTTAACACGGCAGGGATAAAAGTGGCTGGCATTCAAACCCACAAACTCAATTAGAAACAAGCTTCGTCATTCAAAGCATCCTGTCAGTGGAGCCACTTAAACAAAACAGTTTAAATATCTTATACCCTGTTGCAATGATCGTCGGGTTAAATGCATAGGTCAAAATAGTGTAACTGGGTCAGTCAGACCAGCGGAGAACAAAACTCTAACAGAATCTAGATTAGTTGACCCTAATAAGATAAAAAATCTAGAGGATGGTTCAGCTATTACAGCACTGCATGCAATCACACATACACACACAACCATACAATATGATGATGGGATAAGATGACAGTTCTGAAATCTAATATAACATCAAAGTTGAGACAGAGATTGATAATGGAAGCTGTATTTATCGAATCACCTGCAAACACGTGCGATACGAATGATTCAACACCTGTCCAGCTGGACATCTGGAAAATTCCACTCCCCCTACAACGAATAGGTTGGAGTAAGGAAAACTATAAAACGAAAGTTTCGAAGTTGTCTAGTTATATAATTGATATGATTAAGAACCGCATTAATTTGTGTTCGAAACTTTGTTATCCAGTAAATAATATTGTTTCATTGTGTGACATATGTAATAAACAAATTAATATGGAATGTTTGTCCTTATTCTCATGTCTGGGTTGGTGCTTTTTTGTGCATTCAACAGTAGTCACATTCGCCAGCTGAATACTATAAATAAGACGGAGATTGATCGGATATATGCTGAGAAGACAGTTGAGTGGCGTCACGGTCTAGACCCTAAAGTGGAAGCCGAATGGGAACTGACAACTTCGGCGTGAATAAGCAGGCGATAGGGAGTAGATCGTGTGAGGAGGAAATGAAAGCCTACGGGGAAATGTGAAGCCAGCTAAAAATAGTGTGCTGCTGAAGGCGTAGGTTCTATTGGAACCCAAGATAATAATATTAGTAATAATAATAATAATAACAAAATAATATTCGGTAGAACACTGCAATCTACACTTCAATCCCAGTTATAAGGAAATATTGTAATACAGAGTGAGACAAGAAATTCATCTTATCCTATATCATAACTTTAATCAATAACTTTAAATATACGCTGAACTATCTATATACTGTATTATATATATAGTGTAATACTGATTCGATCAATTCAAATATTTTTAATCGATTGCTGCTTAGTAAATTGAAAGAAGGCAACAATATAGATTCTGTTGAATGAAGTGACTACAGACAGCATAAATTGTACACTTTTTTCTGTCTCCATATCTATTTACTTAATCCTTTTCTAATTGGAAAAAAATAATATATATTGTTTATCATATCGTTACTGATATCTATATAAAAAAAGTATTTCACAAAATATACTCGTTTATTGAAAGGAAAACTTTAAAAGAAGGTAAGTCTTCATTATTATTTGTTATTATTATTTTTATTGTCATTCCGTTGGGTTCCGAGTGGAACCCAAAGCTTCAGCAGCGTATCATCATTTGATACTGTTCCCCTGAGTATTTTTTCGCATATGATCTGCAAGTTACCATCAGATCAACTCCCAACTTGGCGTTTTATCCATTTGGCTTCCACTTGAGGGTCTACCTTGGGTGTGATGTCATTCAACGGTCTCCTCGGTATATATCCAGTCCGTCTCCATTTTCCTTCTGTGTATTTATTGGACAACAGGTTCATTCAGCACTGGTTCATTGCACTACCAGAGTCCTTTGTCGCCATTTCCTTCTGGGCTACCATCTCATTTTGGCGGCCTATATAAAACTTGGGCTACCTGGAACTTCCATCAGTATATTGCGTATAATTTCTCTTATTCAGTTTGTTTAAATCTATTAAAGTATGACTTCCAATAGTATTATTTAGTCTGGCGAGTATTTAACATGTAGAAAAAATCCCCATTTAGACATTTAGAAAATAGAAAGATTGAGGGAAGAAATATTTACTTTTCAATTAGATCCTCATCCCTCTCTGGCTCTACTCTAATATATAATGTATAGCATTTTTATTACAATACACAACAGTTTACCAATCACGTTACACTGATATGCTTGTTAACAATCATTAGTCAGTGTCAAAATGTCAATGGGTTGATAATTAACGAAGAAAATTAATACACACAATTAAAGGGTAGAAATGGTTAGAATAAATTAATTTTACAAGGATAACACGTAATTAAAGATGAAGTGGTCAGAAAAAATAATAAAATAATTTGGACAATTATAATTTTTATAATTTTAAATGTTTAGGGGGAGGGGGGCGAAGTAGTCCGGTTTATACATTCATGTAACGATGGCCAAGGTAAGGAAAGTGGCTGTACAAATTTCTTCTTAACACACAGGTTTGGCTTCTTCAGGTGGATTCCTATTGCTTCAGCTGTAGGTATATAAAAGACGAACTCGTAGAGCAAAATTAAGATTGGTAGGAATGCGATAAATAATTTTAAATGCAGTATTAACGTCAACCTTATGCTCACTATCTACAAGGTGTGCTACCATAGAGCTACGAATAGATCTTGTTTCTCCCTTGCTTAACCATGCTGCAGGTTGATGTTTGGAAATACGATGATGAACCTACCTGTATTTAAAACACTGCGAACCTGCTGACTGGCAAGTTTCTACTAAACATGAGAAAAAGCACTATTCTGTATGGATGGCAACTTATCCCAATACATGAGATGACTGTTCCTGAGTGGTGTCCTTGATTCACAAACTGTACTCGTGAACTGTTTATAATTATCATTCAACAAAGAATCGTAGTGTACTTCTCGGAGGAGAAAAAGAAGAGATATCATGCAATGGATGGGTTTGTACTTTAGGTCAAACAGCACTGTGTCATACGATCTCCTGTCAATCAAATTTTTTATTTGAAGATCCCGGATGAAGAGAAAATATCATGCAATACACTCTACTGAAAATTCTGTAAATTACATAAACACCATTCATTAGACTGCTGGAAATGCTTTTTGATGACGTATAAAGTCTCTAAATCATGCAGAAGTACTAATTTGAAATTATGCTGAATGCCACAGATTTCTATGCTGATTTCAGAGGAAACAACAGTTCGTACAGCAGTTGTGGGACAATGCTGCATGACAAGTAATCCACAACTGGAAACTCATGGGATGTCTCGAGGTGAAGACGGGAGTAAGAAAAGCTGGCTGTCTAATATCTCCAATGATTTTCCTGATTGCAGTAGATTGGACAGTGCGATAGACAGTGGGCAGCGAGGAAAGAGGCATAAAATGAAACCAAACAAAAAACTTGGAGGATCTGGACTTCGCCGATGATATGCAAGTGAAAAGCAACAAGTTGGCAGAAGAAACATCCAGAGTAGATAGGACTTCAGGTGAACATAGAGAAGACAGAGGTGATGAAGATTCCTGGCCAACAGCCACAACAACAACAACAACAGACAACAATCAGCATAAATAGGAGAAACCGAGTCTGAAAAAAAACAACCTCCTTCACATATCTAGGAAGAATCATTTCAACTACAGGCGGAATTGACGAGGATATCAAAGCGACGATAAGGAAAGCAAGGCAAGCTTTCATTACTCTCAAGTTTGTGTGGAGGTCAACAGCACTCAGCATCAAAAATAAGATCCGGATTTTACACTCCAATGTGAAGTCAGTGCTCTTTAACAAACGGATCAGAGACTTGGCGCGTCATAAAGAGCACCTCCAACAAACTACAAACTTTCACCAACAGCTGCCTTCGCTCAATACTCAAGATCAGATGGCCAGAAAAGATCAGCAACAGAGATCTCTGGGAGCAAACCAACCAGGAACCGACTGTGCAACAAATAGGCAGGAAGAAATGGAGATGGATTGGCCATACTCTGAGAAAATAAACCATCAAGTGACATCACTAGACAAGCCCTCGAGTGGAACCGGAAAGGGAAGCGGCGAATTGGCCGTCCAAGGATGACCTGGAGGAGATCATGTGAAGAGGAATTGAAAGCGTATGGGCAGACTTGGAGCCAGATGAAAACGTTGGCAGAGAACCGAACGCAATGGAGACGTTTTGCTGAAGCCCTGTTCTTCTAGGAGTTAAAGGAAATAATAATAATATAATAACACTTCGCCTATTGTGAATGGATTCATCTATTTTCAGTGTGGATTTCGTTAAACTTAAATCAGTTAAAGATCATTGAAAGCTAGAGAGCATTAGATAGACGTTTTGTCCTAGTGCTGGGACTCTTCAGTAGTAAGCGCCCATATCCCACCAGATATCGAACCCAGTGCCTTCAAGTTTACTCACTACTATGCCACTTGAATCAAAATTCAACAACCAGTGAATTTAACACTCTGTTTTTTAACCAATTTCTTCTAGGTGCATCCACTCCACTGGTGGTAGATTCCACTCTGTTTCTCAATTCTTTTTCCTTGAAGTAAATTGGACGATGGTGAACAGCAGTGGAATCCAAGACAACGTGCATTTCTTTCCATTTGGGACGCATCATCTGCATGCAGCTGCATCGTTCAGTGAGTAATGGAGCTCCCACTGAAGTTCAAACCCAGTACCCATAATTTCAAACACCAGAAGCATTACCCACTAGACCACTTGGATTTCACTGCTAGTCACTACCCACCAATTTACCTCAAATTAAACAACCAGACATCGTTGAAGCACCCGTGCAAGCAGCCAAAATGTCAATCTGGTATCAATCACTTCTGTCCAATCAATCAGCGGGAAAGTCATTTGAAATTGAATTAACTTTCTTTTAACCCATATAAATTTGTATCACAATGTCCGTTGTTTATATCTATCTACCTGCATGTCCGATTGATTTATTGTGTTTTTCTTATTAACAGAAAAGGTGTATTTTAGTACAATTTCCTTTTCTTAAACTAACTATCCCCCGACAAAAAACGTGAATCAATTTCAACAGGTGAAAAAGAAGAACAATCAAACAAATAGAACTGGTAAACTTATTTTTTACTCTTTAAATTTTATACTACTAATATCCTTTTTAGTAATAGCTATAGGAAAAAGGAAAGAATAATTAATATTATCCATCCATGATGTCACAAGAGAATAATAGAAATATTGATGAATGTTTATTAAGGAGTAGTACAATTGCATCCACAACGCCTACATCAACAACAATAACAATGTCAACAACAGCAGGATCAAATACAACTATTATGTCATCAAATCCTATGAATACATTAATTAGTAATCAGGATCAACGTGCATCTGGTGATATAGGTGATGATTCATATGCCAATGGAAAGATGATACATCTTACACAATCAAATGAACATATAACTACTAGTAATACGAATGTTATATATACTAATAATAATACAACAACTACTACTACCTATGATATAACGAATAATAAAACATCTACGACTACTCCTACTACTAATATAATTAATAGTAGTATAAAAAAGGATGATAATCAACGTCTATTCCTCAATAAGTTAATAAAACCATCATCAACAACAATAAATGGATTCACTATGGATAGAGATCTTACCGATAAAGATTTACAAGAGAAATCAATCACAGATACAACAAATGATTCAACTACTTCATCGATCTCACCATGTTCTGATAATAATTCCGAAAATAATCTTATCAAATTGAATGCGTCTAATTCATCTTTACCGCATCGAAGTAATCAATCACACCAACAAAAACAACAATATACTACTAACAATAGTCTAGTCAGTAGTAAATTCAGTGTTAAAGAAAATTCGGGCAAAATCGAACAAGAACAACAACAACAACAGAAATCAATAACATCTGGTATAAATCATATGAATTCAACCAATGAAGGTAGGTTTTACAATAGTACTCAGAAAAAAATCAATTTTATTTCAAAAGATTGATTAGGAATAAGTAAAGAATGCTCTTTTCGATAATCACCTCTTCATTAGGCTCTATAGTTACATTTCCATAATAGTTAGAGATTTATTGTCATAGGATTAGGAGACAAATCGAAAAAATAAAAACGTCACGTAATATTGTGTGAAATTTAATAGCATAGAATTTAATGTTGTAAAAAGGAATTGATTTAGAATGACAAGTGGAACAAGTGAAATAATACCGGGGACAATTAAAAGTGGGAGTAGTAATAGTAACAATTGACGTAATAAGGAAGATAACACATATTGAATAGACAAAATGAAAAAATGGAAAATTGATAGGGCCAAAATATGATTGGGGATTACCGTATGAAGCGCGATCATTGAACATCTGGTTGATAATGATCAGCCTATCTCTATAGCCTCCGCCTTTAAAGTCATCTACAAGGCAAAGAGTTATTATTATTATATTATTGTTCCCTTGGGTTCCTAGTGGAACATAGGGCTTCAACTGCACGTCTCCACTTGCTTCTGTCTTCTGCTGTACTTTTCACTTGCATCCATGTTAGTCCATGCTGTTTCAACTCCACTTCACACGATCTCCTCCATGTCACCCTTGGACGTCCCACTCGCCGCTTCCCTTTCGGGTTCCACTCGACCACTGGCCTGACGCGCGATGTCACCCAACGACCTCCTCAGCGAGTGTCCAATCCATCTCCACTTTCTCCTGCATATTTGTTGGGCGATTGGTTCCTGTTTTGTTTGTTCCCATAGTTTCTTGTTGGTGATTCTTTCCGGCCATCTGATCTTCAGTATAGAGCGAAGACAGTTGTTGATAGAGGTCTGCAACAGCCTGTTGGAAATATTCTTGGTGACCCGCCAAGTTTCTGATCCGTATAGAAGAACTGACTGACTTGACGTTTGTATTGAAAATCCGAATTTTGTTGTTAATGCTGAGTGACGAAGATTTCCAGATTGGTTTCAGGTTGATGAATGTGTTTCTCGCCTTCCCGACTCTCGATTTGACATCCTCGTCGTCCGTTCCTCCTGTAGTTGAGATAATGCTCCCTAGATGATAAGTGAATGAAGTAACTCCTTTCAAATCCCTCGCCTAGATTACTAGGTCACTAGTTTTCTAGCCGGTCCCAAGCCCGGATAAAGAGGGAGGGTTGGGGCGTGGTGCTAGCAACTCCACCCCTAAAACATAACCAAATTGCTACAAAAACTTCAACGCACACACATATTAAAATTTCTAAAAATACAAGGCAAAGAGTAATTTACCTAAATCCCTACATACCCAACTCATCTGTATTGCTGAAGCCATCTTTGGCTATCGAAACAGAAAAGCCAGATCTCTGTGTACAGAAAAAGTTTGTTCAACCCCTCCAACTTTCATGGTCTTAATCCCTCTTCTATGTTAAAGTATGGTAATCCCCAATCATATTTTAGCTCTACCAATTTTTCATTTTTTCAATTTTGTCTATTCAATTTGTATACTCTTCCTTATTAAGTCAATTGTTACTATTACTACTCCCACTTTTAACTGTCCCCGGTATTATTTCACTTGTTCCACTTGTCATTCTAAATCAATTCCTTTTTACAACATTAAATTCTATGCTATTAAATTTCACACAATATTACGTGACGTTTTTATTTTTTCGATTTGTCTACTAATCCTTTAATTGCACACCTTTTTCAAGTTCTATCCATCCTACGAATTATTCTACATATTACATTAATTTGCTTTGCCACTTGACATTTAACTATGATTATAATCACAAACATTTTATTTTTAATTATTGTTATGAAGAGTATTTATGTTTTAAACAATATCGAATCAAAGGCATCTATAGTTGATAATATGCATTTATAGAACTTTAGTTACCTGAAGGTATATACTACTGACTAATTGAGATGAGTAGGTGTATACCAGCAGTGCTTGCTAGCCAGATTTTTGTGATCCAAACGTCAGACTACCCTTTGGGGATAAATTTATCAGTGATGCATGTGGTTTGACTAAGCACACAGAGCCGAATCACTTCAAACTACTCAATTTCTGACTAGCTACTTGAGCAAAAAAGTGCTCTCATACGTCAGATTTGAAATTTACACAGTTTGAGGTGGACTTTCACCACAGTCTTCTTTGGGAACTGAAACTATTCACATCATAGTATATGACATACTTGATACTATAAATAGTAACATAGAATTGAACGGAATGTCAGATATATTAAGAAAGATAATATGATATTTATAAGTTTGTAGGTTCCACAACAGACCACGGTAGCAATAGTATCTGAACTGAATTTATTTCTCTTGCAAAAAAGCTCCGGTAATTTCGAGTGAATAGTAATAGCCTTTGTTTTTTGGTGTATTCGATACCTGGAGGCTTTTGGAGATTTGACTGTCACACAATCAGTTGAAATTCCACGACTAGAAGAAGAAATATCTGGACTGGTTAACTATTCTTGTATCTATCTATGTATCAATCCAGCTGCTATCCAATGATAATATTATTATTGCTGTTTCTTTTGGTTCCGAGTAAGACATAAGGCCTCAACAACACATCTCCACCTTGTTCTATTTTCTGTTGACCTGTTTAGCTGTCTCCGAGATTGACCACAATCCCTTATCTCCATCTTCCACGATTTTCTTTATATCAACCTTACAACAATGACACACTCTTCACTTTCCATTGGGGTTCCAATCGAGCGATGGCCCACGTTTCACACGATATCATATGATGGCCCCCTCATTGGCGTATACTCAATGCATCTCCAGTTCCTTCCGCATATTTGTTGAGCAGACGACACTTGGTTGGTCTGTTCCACTGCAGAGTTACCTGTTGCTAATTCTTTCTGACAGCGAATTGGGCAGCTGTCGATAAAAGTCTGTAGCTTGTTTGAAATGAGTTTCATTAGACGCAGTGCAAGTTTCTGACCCATACAGAACTGACTGACCTAACATTGGTGTAGAAAATCCAAATTTTGTTCTTTATGCTGAGTGCAGAAGATTTCCAAACTGGTCTCAGATTGATGAAGGCGTATCTGGCCTTTCCTATCTCGACTGGATTTGATATCTTCATCCGTGCTTTCATCTGCTCTTGATAAGTGAAGGAAGTAACCTCTGTGAAATCTCTCCCGTTGGTGGTGATTGGTTCTGGTTGTTGTTGGTTGGCTATCTTCATCACCTGCATCTTCTCTATTTTCACTTGGAGTCCTGCCTTTGCTACCTGCTTCCTCAGCCAGTTTGTTAGTTTTCGCCTGTAAGTCTTCGAGTTTGTGTGACATTAAACATAAGTGATCTGAGAAATCCAGATCTTCTAGAGTCTTCTTATTGGTGGTTCAACATATTACTGTTTTCTCAATCTCCACAGTCCACATTGAACTTAGCTTCTGATTCTGCGCACAAAATAAATTTTCAAACCCTCCAGTTACCTAATACTCGAAACAACAGATACAATTACAATTGGCTTGAAACAACAGGAGCTCCTAGTGTAAAAGTGACAGATCTAGCTACTGCTACTACCCTAACCTACTGTGGAATCTATAAATTCATAAATCCTGTATTACCTTTCTTAACTTACCTGATATTCAATTAATTCAGTGTTATAATGATGCATATTATAGATTATACTATAGATACTTTTAATCTATAATCTTTGATTAGACACTAGATACAGTGAGTAGTGTTATGGGTCTAGTCCTTTGTTTGATGCGAACTGAATTCTAAATGCATGACATTACTTCCTACCTTGTCAGTGTCCAACCAAAGTATCCATTACAGCCCGACAGGAGGTCCGTCAGGGCCCCAAATAGCTCAGTATTAACGTCTCTGACTGTACCACTGAGTGATTCGGGTATAAATTACAGAAAGGACGTCAGTTTTTTTCAATATTGCAGATATTCCATACTGACGAATCCGAAGAATCATGAAACTTAGATCCAGAGCTTCCAACCTATTACTTCCGACTGTCTAGCCACTGTTATCTCTTGTTATTATTGATTCAATTTTCTTTCCGATGACAGACAGCTGTACATTCGTGTATTTATAGGGAATGGGGGAAAAGTTCTAGTGTAACGACAGAAGACAAGGGACAGGCAACAGATCCTTTATTCAGAAAATCAACAGATATTTATAGATTTTTATGTACATGATTATTAGCGTTATTGTTAGCAGGGAAGCAACGTCTTCTGACTGTTTTTTTTCTTGCTGAAGGTTATTCTGTACTTCTTGTGACCATTTCTCAGAAAGTTAAGCCATATATCTGTGAATCTAATTTGCGCATGTTAAGTTTGCTGCGATTGGTCAGTGAGTTCCTCAAGGTTAATCTTTGCTATTATTTTTCTCATGACCAAGATTTGGGACGTAACATTGAAGTAAATAGCTGTCTACAATTTTTAGCTAGCAGCCAGCTATCACCACACTAGAACTATTTCCGGTTGGGTGTCAAATTAATAAAATTACAAAGTGTAATAAGCAGGAATACCTGATAAAATATAAACGTTGTAAGATCATAATTACTGAGAAACTTGACTGTTTGTGCAATAAGGGATTTAAGATGTAGTAATAACAAAGTAGACAGGAAGTTTGGATAAAAAACATAGTAGTGTAGATTAGAATTTTTAAAAAAAACGTAAAAATAACAGGAAGATTGAATAGGAACGGTAAAAGGATAACTATTATTGGGAGAATTGACTTTTTATTATGATAGGGACAACAGTTGGATGTATAAAGTGTGGGCTTGAACTTTCCGATCACTAGTGCCTCATCTTTGTCTAGATGCCTTATTTTATTTTATTTTTTATTTTGATTTACAGCTTGATTCCACATCGTATTTTCAGTACAAGTGTGGAATTTTCAGCATGGATATCGGTAGCCCAAATTCAGGCCGACCATACATATCGGGTGTGCGCCGGACCATGTGCATGGTCGGCGAGAGTCCTAACCACTGTGCCACCGACGCACATCCATCCCGTTTGAGAGGTTTGATAGGATCTTGTATATGACTTTGAAGGACTTTTGAAGTGGAACCAAATATCATGAGTTCATCAGATGTTCTATTGCTGTACTATATACACACTTGCATTCTCTCTTTGCCAGCTAGTCACGTTGGTTAGTGTTCCCAAGAGCGTTTTTCTAGCAAACGCATAGTACGGCCAATGTAGTCAGCTCCAAACGAGCAAGTGAAATGGTATATGCATGGTGAAGTGGGCATCTTTATTATTAATGTAATTGTTTCCTTTAATTCCTAGAGGAACATAGGACTTCAGCGGCACGTCTCCATTGCGTTCAGTTCTCCGTCAACGTTTTCACCTGGCTCCATGTCTGCCCACATGCCCTCATCTCCTCTTCGCATGACACTCTCGCAATGACGACCAACACGCCACTTCCCATTTGGTTCGACTCGAGCGATGGCCTGGCATGTGATGTCACTCACTTGATGGTTTGTTTTCTCAGAGTATGACCAATCCACCTCCATTTCTTCCTGCACATTTGTTGCACAATCGGTTCCTGCTGGGGTGGTTCGCTCATTGCCAGAGATGCTTCCCTGTTGCTGATCTTTTCTGGCCAGTCATCTGATCTTGAACGATGTATTAAGCGAAGACAGCTGTTGATGAAGGTCTGTAGTTTGTTCGAAGTGCCCTTCGTGACGCGCTGGCCAAGTGTCTGATACGTATAGTGAGTAGCACTGACTTGACATTGCAGTTGAAAATCCGGATCTTATTTTCATTTTCATGCTGAGTGCTGTTGATCTCCACACAGACCTGAGAGTAATGAGTGCTTGCCTTGCTTTCCCGATGATCCTCGCTTTGATATCCTCATCACTTCCGTCCGCCTGTAGTTGAAACGATGCTTCCCAGATAGGTAGGAAGTAGGTTGTTTCTTTCAGGTTCCTTCCATTTATGCTGGCTATTGTTGTTGCTGTTGCTGTTGTTGTTGACCAGGAATCTTCATCACCTCTGTTTTCTCCATGTTCACCTGAAGGTCCTATCTTCTCTGGATGCTTCTTCTGCCAACTTGTTTTTTTTCACTTGCATATCTTCCAGTTTGTAGGAAATCAGACATATATCATCGGAGAAGTCCAGATCCTCGAAGTTTTTGTGTGGGTCCATTTTATGCTTGTTTCCATATTGCCCGCTGTCTGTCCCATTATCCAGTCTACTGCAATCAAGAAAATCATTGCAGATAGTAGGCAACCAGCCAGCTTATCTTACTCCTGTGTTTACCTCGAAGCATTCCATGAGTTTACTGTTGTCGATTACTTGGCACGCAGTATTGTTTTACAACTGTTGGATGGGATGTATAATTGTTGGCGGCACCCCGTAGTAGTTCTGCTTCCGCTGTTGGTATTATTGGATGCATTGTAGGTGGCGGTCGATTTAGAAGTTTTTTGAAGTGTTCAGCCCAGTGTTTCCTTTGCTCCACCTCTTTTGATGATTGAATTTCCATTGTCATCCTCCACTGGCTTAATTTATGTTGAACTTTTCCCCGATAGGAACCTAGTTATTTGGTAGAGTGTTGCGAGATCTCCTTTGCCTAAGCATCTTTAATCAATTTTATTGATTTATCGATTTATTTATTTATTGTATTTTCTTCTTGTAGAACAATATAATTTTCAAGAAAATAATTCAGTCATTACAACATCTACAAAAATGTTAACATCATTAGGCAAAACAATAAAAAATCCAGATTTAATAAATCATGAAAAGGTGAACAGCTTCAAAGAAGATATCAAAAGTTATACTACAGAAGGTCATGATATCGATCATAACAGTGGTGGTAATATTAACGAAAGTTACAGTAGTGTTAGCAGTGGCAATCAAAAAATCAATACTTCTACTAATAGTAATAGTAATACAGGTGGGAACAGTAATCATGGAATATATTATTTACAAAATGGGATAAAATCAATAAATACATCATTGTCAACCAATGAGAACCACGATACACACCAACAGCCTCAACACCCTCAACAACAACAACAACAGACAACACTGACTAATTCGTTAGGCCAATCTACAGAAACATCATCTTTTTACAATCATATCAACAATAATTATGGACGTCGAAATCTCTTAACTAATCGAAAATCAACTATGCTTATCAATAATAATAATAATACAAGTAATCCTATGAATACTAATATAAATTATACTAATAGTAATGGTACTGGTACTAGTCCTAATAATACAACACCAACCTCGACGTATGATTATAAATCAACTCGTAATTCTGTGAATTATCCAGTCCAGGAATCGATTCCAGTGAATGGTAGTCATGATGATTGGGCAATACAACTACAACTACAACTACGGAGAGTAATATGAACAGTAGCGGGAGTAATAATCCACAGTTAACGCCTAACAATACCGCATACAATACTATTGATAATCAAAATATCGATCATGTGAATGATAATAGTAGTGGTAATACTAATACTACTACTTCTAGTAATAATAATAATAATAAGACAAATTTAATTGTGAATTATCTACCGCCATTTATGACACAAGAAGAAGTGAAAGCTTTATTTTCAAGTATTGGTGAAGTTGAAAGTTGTAAGTTAGTCAGAGAGAAAGTGACTGGTGAAAGTCTAGGTTATGCATTTGTCAAGTATATTAATCCATATGAAGCAGAGAAAGCGATACGTACATTGAATGGTTTACGTTTACAGAATAAAACAATTAAAGTATCATTAGCACGACCTAGTTCAGAATCAATAAAAGGTGCAAATCTGTATATATGTGGACTGCCAAAAAAAATGACACAAAGTGAATTAGAAGAATTATTTAATCAATGTGGTCGTATTATTACAGCACGTATATTATATGATAATAAAACAGGCTTATCACGTGGTGTTGCCTTTATTCGATTTGATCAACGTCATGAAGCTGAATTAGCTATACATCGATTAAATGGTTATCAAGCTCCATCAGATCATCCAAACGGCCTACCGAATGAACCAATCACAGTGAAATTTGCTAATTCACCAAATTCAATAAAACATGATAGTTTTAGTTTAGTCCTGTTGAAACAAGCTGCCCAGTTACAATCAGTTGCTGCCTCTGTGGTTAGTCCAACACCAACACGTAGTGCTGCTGCTGCAAGTGCTGCCGCTGCGGCAACAGCAGTTGCAGCTGCTGGCCTATTAAATCCTCTACAACAGATAGCATCTCTTTCCAATCGTTTAAAGTATTCTAGTGTACTAGCAGGGAATTCACCTGTATCGCCAGGTTCACCTGCTGCTACAGCTGCTGATTTTCTTCCAGCAATGGCTAGTGCTGCAGCTGTTGTCAATCCATTGTTAGCACCAGCTGTAGCTGCCAGTTCTGGAGCGCTAACGTCAACCGGTTGGTGTATATTTGTATATAATTTAGCTCCAGAAACAGAAGAAGCTAATTTATGGCAATTATTTGGTCCATTCGGTGCTGTACAAACAGTGAAAATTATTCGTGATCCAATGACTAATAAATGTAAAGGTTTTGGTTTTGTTACAATGAGTAATTATGAAGAAGCTTTGCTAGCAATACATTCATTGAATGGTTTTGCCTTAGGTAATCGTGTATTACAAGTCTCTTTTAAAACAACACCAAATAGTAAATTACGTTCATCTACATCGAATACACCACCACCGCCGCCAGCTGCACAACCGCCACTGCAAACACAACAGCCACCTTCATCAGTGCCACCACAATCAGAATCAAGTCCACTGCCTAATGGAACATTGATAAATAATCAATATTCAACAACAAATGAACAAAATGGTTTAAATTCAAATGAATTTGTGAATAATAATCTATCATCAGTAACAAATTATAGTCAACAAAAATCGCCACCATCATCATCATCATCACACAACAACAACAACACCAGAATCATCGTTCAAATTCAACACAACCGCCAATTACAGACACATCAATTAAACAAACACCTGTTCAATATTCCAATGGTACATCGAATCATTCTTCATCAATGAATAATAATGTAACGAATGAAAGTATAAATAATAATCCTAAAAATTTAAAATCAATATTAATGAATAATAATCCACATGATATACCAAAAGAGTTATCAAATTCATTTTCTGGTGCATTAACTATACAACAATCAACGCATTTGAATTCAATGATGTCATCATCACCGGATAAATCAAAAAATGTATCAAAGAAAACCAATTTACTTAAAAACTCTTCAATAAATGGACAAAATTATGATACATAAAAAGGATAGAAAATGGATTCTTTCAGATTAATCGATAGATCGATCGATAAATAGATAGAGAGAGAGACGGACAGACAGACACAAGTGCACACATATATACTGGTGTATATAACCTCATCTATACAATATTATACAATAAATATGTGATATACATCTATATTTGAGTAAACTAAAATGCCGTGAAGTGAAATTTCACGATTTATTTATTTTTCATTTCATCATAATTTTATTCATTGTAAAAAAATTAATTAACTACCCCCTATCTATCCATAAAACATACATATATATATATATATATCTACATGCATGAAACATATATAACTACATAGATACAATAATATATGCATAACATACTATATAATATATATTATTACTCACTCAGTTAGTTAATTTGGTTATATAACTCACCTTTTTTTCCTTTTAACTAATTGTATTAATTAAGTTGTATTCAATCAAAAGTTGAGTTCAATGAACAAATGGTATAAATATTTTATATTTTTCTGTTCTTGTATTTTTTTGGTCACTTAATATTTGTTTCATTATTATTATTATTATTATTATTATTGAATTTCTTCTAAATAGCGCATATTTAAGTAGTACTGAAGAGAAAGGAAGAATGAAGAGAAAGCGGTAAATGAGTTGAAATGCCAGAAACTTTGAATTGATTTTTCTTCGTCTGCTTGGTCATGCTTCTTCTCATCTCATTATTACTATTATTATTATTATCATCATCATATTCTTTCTAATGGATGTCATAGCCTTCGATATTGCTAATACAACTGAGTTGGATGATATGAGATGCAATGAAAAAAACAAGGAGAATTCATGAAATTCCTTTAAAGAGACGAAGTGTGTGTGTGAGTGAGAGAAGCAAACCTAATGCTTCACAAGACAGAGAGGAAACATGAGTCAACATTTCTATATGAGAATAATAATAATTGGTCAAAACTGATACGAATGACCAGACAATTGCTATAACTATATATCTCAGTTTAGCCTTTTATTCGTCTCAACAAAAATAAGCCAACTGAATAACTAACTAACTAACTAACAAAACCTGACAATGTGTTACTGTATATTCTATACACAACAATGTCATTTTAATCAGTTTGATGCTATGATTGTACATAGTTTACCGCTTCTTCTAATTGTACTTCACAAATGAATTTTCATGTTCATTTTGAATAAAATATGTTTTGAGTAAAAAGGATTTTTGATTTTAATAGACTTAGTTTAGTAATCCGCTATAAGAACGGTAGAAAATAACGTGTTAGAAAAGTCAGCTGTTTTAGGGTCAAGTTTAGATGTGATAACCTTTTTATTTTACGTTAATCACATGCTCTCATTTTCCACCAATCAGATTAGGATGCAGGCTATTTTGATTGGTTTATTATTTTTAACCTTGAGAAAACAATGAATAAATCAATAGGAGGAATCCAGTCTTTCTTTATATGACTAAGACAATGCTTATAAGAGACGTTATAATACTATAACTTGTACGTGCCTTTCATATCATAAACATGGTATCTTCACTACTGGCTAAAGTTGGAACTTGTGTTGTTCAGTCTGCACTTGGTTCACAAACGGTAACTTTGGATAGTTTTTGGCGGGTAAGTGAGTGTTTTTCCTCTCGTGTGAATGTGTTTTTTCTAAATTCAAATCTGGTTTGATTCTGTAATACAATACCCAGGTAGCACCGTTATGCAGTGGCCTGTATTTATAAATACGCAAGTGAACTTCATTGAAGCTGTTTGGTTGTATCAAAATTTATCATTTTACTGTGCTTAACTATGTTTAACTTTATTTTGAATGCCTCAAACACTGCATCCATTCCGTATTTTTGTGGAGTGGTGAGTTGCTATAGAACGACTAAATAGACTAGGCACCCCAGTCAGAGAATGCACGTGTGCAATGTGCCCCAAACGTGGGATAAATGGGTTATTTTGATCGGCAAATAGTTGGGCCAAAGGTTGTGTAAATGCTACATAATTTACCCACTTTACCCATATTGGCCACTTTTTCCCACTTTGCCCAAATTTGAACGGAAAACTGCCCACGTTTTTACCCACATATCCCAGGTCCCAAAATAAATTCACCGACTGGGTTAATGGAAGGAATCTCACATCACTCTTACGCAAATAGGTTTAGAAGTTCAAATTTCTGATCATCACATAGTAGGGAAAGAGATGATCTTATTAAGGCATGTAAATTAAGTAATCATTTATCCGTCTACCTATCATCTATTTTGAACCTTCTGCAACAAGTTTGAGTAGGCATCGGTTAAGTTAAACTACCATAGCCACAGTCAACGTCTGTCAAAGTTGACCTTCGAGAAGCAATTAGATTTAGAGGGCACAATGAAAGGTTTTTCCAAATCAAATCATGCCTACCTTTTTTGAATTTGGCCTGAGTAGATACAGTGTTTAGCGAAGTTAAACTACCGGGTCCCAGGGTTGCGAACGCCTCCAATAACCTTGGACGCATGCCAGTCGTTGGACAACCAGACGTATCATTATTATAGCACAAATATGAACGCCATTCACCCACTAAGGAGCAAATTCCACCCAGATCACGTTTTTAAGTACTGTTTTGACTATGTGTTGATAGCTCGTTAGGATTAGGGTTAAGATTGGGATCAGGGTTATAATTAAGGTTAGAATATAGCTGGCGTTATCTATTTGAATTTGTTTTATTATCCACATTTTCCTAACAGGTAGTCGTCGATCCTCTTGCTGAAAACCATAGTAGTTCAACCGAGAGCTTTTTGGGAAGACTGCAAAACAGGATAAGAGAGATAAACGGTTCACAAAAACAGCTTATCTGTAGTCGTCTCGGTGAATACATGTACAGAAACTAGTCTAACTTAGCAACTGATACTCCTCACTATAACTGGGACGTATGTTTAAGTCATGTCAGAGGAGGATACCCTGTTTAATGTGTTTTCATGGATTTTCTTGTAATTAATCGACTTTTTCGTGTAAAAATCACTTATTTTATGATCGGTCGGCTCAAAGTCACTTGTGCGTTCGCATCTCATGTGCCCAGTATTCTACTTATACCCTAGATACTTTTTCTGTAAATCCATACTCGATCAAGTTAAACTTTAAGCACCAGTAAATGCCAATGGAGTGCTATCGCACCAGTTACTTTGGAATGCTCAGTAAGCAAGTTAGTGGAACTCTGTAAATAAAATTGTAATCATGAGTAAAATATGCTTAATGAGGTTTTGTGTTATTAAACGGGATATCTGGCAAGTTTCAGCTTAGGTTTGGGAAAGATTAAGTTACGGTTTAGGCCAAGGAAAAGTTAGGGTTAGGTTAACCTAACGAAGCGACATTGAGTTGGTTCGAGTTATACGGTTAGTTTTATATTTCAGTTTAGGGTTAGGTTAAGGAAAGATTAGGCTTATTTGTTAGGGTTAGAAAACTAGATAATTACATGCACAGAATGTGGCTAAATTATTCTGTTGACACTCCAGTCCAAAACTGAGAAGCAATTTTGTCACACGTCAGCGAAAGGTTTCCTGTGTAAAAGTTTCATGCCTTTTAATTCATTATTTTCCAGAATATATACGTATTGTATACGCAAAATTCACCTTTATCATGTGGTTGGTACGTTGTAGGTCGTTTGTACTTTGGTACTTACTGGTGCTTAAAGTTTAACTTTGCTCTATACTCTGAGGGAGGTGTTTTTAAGTTTATAAACCTTAATCCAATTAGGTTAAGGTTAGGATTAGGTTTATAGTTTGTATTAAGGTTCAGAATTATGGTTAGAGTTAGGGGTAGGTTAAAGAACAATGTAAGAAATATCAATGGGTCTCAAAGTACCATGATCTGCAGTCACGTTAACATGATTAATACTCCCTTGGGTTCCGAGTGGAACATAGGGCTTCAACAACACATCTTCTCCTCGTTGTGTTAAGTCTGCCGTCTTGATCAGCTGACTGGTCCACGATTGACCAAACTCTTTCATCTCTTCCACACACGATCTCCTCCATGTCACCCTAGGATGACCCACTCTTTGCTTCCCATTGGGGTTCCATCCGAGTGATGGCCTGCAATGTACGTGATGTCATTCGACGGCTTCCTCAATGTATACCCGATCCATCTGCATTTTCTCTTACATATTTGTTGAGCGATCGGTTCTTGGTTGGTTTGTTCCACTGCAGAGTTTCTTTATGCTAATTCTTTCTGGTTAGCTGACCACTTGATCTTCAGTACGGAGCCAGCGAAATAGATAGCTGTTGATAAATGTCTGTAAATTGTTGAAAATGCTTCTCGTGATTTACGTGCCAAGTTTCTGAACTATATAGAAGAACTGACTGACTAAACATTGGTGTTGAAAATCCGAGTCTTGTTGTTTATGCTGACTGAACGGAGAAGATTTACAAACTGTTCTCAGAATGATGAAGGCATATCTTACCTTTCCAATTCTGGCCTTGGCATCTCCATCCGCGCTGTCACCTGTGGTTGAAACAATGATTCCTAGATAAGTGAAGGAAGTAACCTCTTTCAAATTTCTCCCGTTGATGTTGGCTGGTTATCTTCACTCCCACCTTCTCTATGTTCACTTGGAGTCCTGTCTTTGCTGCCTGCCTCGTCTGCCAGTTTGTTAGTTTTCGCTTGTAAGTCTTCGAGTTTGTGTGAGATCCAGATCTTCTAGAGTCTTCTTATTGGTGGTCCAATGTATTCCTGTCTTCCTACTCCCAACGTAAAGTCTGACGCACAGTCCAGTCCACCACAACTAAGGATATCACCTGTGATAATAGACAGGCAGCCTTGTTTTACTCCTAGATTCAATTCGAACGCCTCGCTGAGTTTTCCGTTGTGGATCACCTGACACATGGAGTTGTCATATAGCTGTTGAATGAGGTTGATAAAGACTTGGACACTGCACGCCGTAGTGTTGAATTAGTTTCCAAATTACTTCTTGGTCAACACTGTCTGGTGAAGGCCTTTTCGAAGTCGATGAAGTTGAGGTTGAAGTTTGACTGCCATTTTATGCATATCTGTTTGATGATGATGCGTAGAGTTGCAATCAGATTCTCATTAGGTTTGCTTTTCTTGAATGCAGCTTGTTCCTGGGGGTGGAGTTGTGCATCTAGTGAATCTTTCATTGTCTCCAGGTTGATGCGACTTACTATTTTACTTGGCATGGACAAGAGCATTATTCCACGCCAGTTCATGCGGAGAGAAGCCTAAGTCGCCGTTCTTTGGTAGCTTGACGAGGTAGCCTTTCTTCCAATCGGTAGGCACCTTTCCTTCCTTCCAAACCTTTTGCAGTAATGGCGTGAGCACATCTGCCACAGTCTTTGGGTGCAGTTTCAGTGCTTCCGGGTGGGTGGGGATTCCGTCTGGTCCTGCTGCCATCCTGGACTTCAGCAACTTGATAGCACTTAGGATTACGGCTTTCGTTGGAGGACTGGTGTCCACTGACAGACAGTTCTGTGAGTTGCAGGTGATGGTCGATTCTAGAGTCCTTTGAAGTGACGAGCCCATTGTTTTATTTGTTTCTCCTCCTTGGTAAACAGGTTCCCTTAAGCATCTTCTGTTGGTTTCATCATCTGGGTTGATCTCTTCCCAGATAGAGACCTGGTTATCTGATATAATCTTCTTAGGTCTCTTTCACCTGCGGCCTGTTCTGCTTCAATGACCGGCCAGTGTGTCGTGGAATTGTTTTTTGTTCTTCCTAGCAGTCTTCTTCACTTTATTCAGTGTAGTGTTCATTGAGCTTAGCTTCCCCTTCTGTTGTCCATCTTTGCGTTGAGTCACCTCTTTCACCATGCTCTTCTATTAGCTTCCAGGAAGGTGTCCGTTGACAGCCATTCCTTTTCTTGTCTCTTCTTTCTTCCTAGAACAGTTGCACACGTTTTCTTGAATATCGCCTTCAGAGAGTTAGTTCCAATGTTCTTCCACACACAGGTTTCCTACGTAGTGTATCCGACTTTGCTCTGATCTGATCTGTAGTGAAGGTATCCCTTGTAGTCTTGTCCTTCACTTTCTGAGTAATGATCTTGAATTACAGTGGCATGTCTCCAGTTGTTTTCATGGATTTCAACTTCACCTTGAAGGTTCCTTCAGCTAGATGATGGTCTGAGGTCACATATACTCCCGTTTCGACTTCGTGTCCAGCAGCCTGGTATTATAGCGTTAACAAAATACCCTCTTAGTATTCACATAGGACTAATTGTATCCAAAAGCAATAAGCGAGCAAGAAATATGTGGACGTTTCCCTTACATCTTACAAATGTTATTCAAGCTTGTATTATCTCTGGTGAAAATATTTATCATTACTCTGATCTTAATTTCTGTAACTGACTGACTGGATTCAACTTAGATCTTTGCAGTTCGCCAGTTCAAATTTTCATACTCCCCCTATGTAGCACACAAGGTAAGAGAACGGTGAGTGAGGAAAAACGAATGGTAGTGTGGAGGAACAATAAACTTTTATTGGATATGACAAATCGCAAAGAGCATCTGCACCGTCGTTGACAACGAGGCTTTTTATCCATATCGCCAACTGTCTCTAATCTTTATTGGTTCTTACCATCCCAAGGACGCCAACCAGTCAGGAAGCCAGTTAAAACCTCCCTACGTGATTGGCTTAAATTAACTGTTGTGGATCTCATTGACTGATGAAGTCATGTTTTGGTTTGGTCACCACGTGCTAACTTTTTTCCAACCTGATCCATCCTATGTCAGTTAACACTGCCTGTTGTCGACGAAGGCGATGGTTAGGGATGCATGCGTAACACATGTCCAAACCATCTCAATCGATGTAACTTGACAGCTTCGTCGATTGATTTCCCCTCCTTACCTAGAACTCGACCAAAGCCTAACCTTAATATTGCTCACCTTATTATATCACTTCACGCGGGAGATAGAACGCAGACATCTATGATCGAAGACAGCTAACATTTTCTTGTCTTCCACAATCAATGGCCATGACTCACAGCCATAAAGGAGGACGGAGCGGACTGATGAGCAGTACACACGTCCTTTGCTCGATAGGCAACGGATATCATATCTACTAAGTCAGAGACGGCGTATGTTTGGATATGCGAAACGAGCCTTCTGTATCGGTGCAGAGCTTTCGTCGGCGTTCAGCTCGTTGGGGCTGGTTGATGCAATTTCCCAAATAAGTGAAGTGGTCAACGCGTTCCACCAACGACTTCACTCTCCATTTCTAAGCTAGGAATGAGTCAGTGTAGTCCAGTCCTATAGCATCATCTTGCATTTGTCAGCACGACCTAATCGCAAGCCAAACATTTTCAGATTGCAGCTTCACCGTAGTGTTTGGTCTGATAGTATTGCTTCCTTTTTTCTCATAAAGGTACATTTCTGTATGATTGTTATTACTGTTGTTATGGTGAAATAACCACTTCTCATATTTTTGTTTTTCATTTCAAACACAATTTAGGATCAGCCATGTATTATCACATTTTTTCGTCGTATGGGATGTAAATTTTGTCGGCTGGAGGCTAAAAATTTAAGTCAACTGAAACCTGCATTAGATGCACGTAATATTAAACTCATTGGAATTACATTTGATAAAGACGGTGTACAAGAATTTCTTGATGGACATTATTTTGAAGGAGGTAAGTGCAACTGGATTTTCCTATCGCGTGTATCATTATTATCTTTACTATTATTGATGATTATTGTGTACTCTGATGGGTAAAGTTAAACTTTAAGCACCACTAACTACCAATCAGCGGATGACCTCGAAAGCACCAATCACGTGACGGAAGCATATTTGTGTATGGAATACATACACTTATAAAACAAATGCATAAAATTTGTAGAAACGTGTTACAGAGGATATCTTTCTCTCACATGTGAAGAAAATAGCTCTCAGTTTTCGGTTGGAGTGTCAACCTCTACTTTCACAATTTGTCAACTCTTGTATCTTACCTATTCTACTTTACTTCTCCCCGTTAGTCTTTCCTGGGCTACTGAAAAAGGACTATACCATCCTGAGAAGGATGTTGAAGGTAGTCAGTAGAACTAGTGGTGTAAAACTCAGTCAGCTCGTCACTACATTAGTTAAAAGGCATCTGAATACATGCAAAAAATGGTCTAAAACCATACTCTCCGATCCCAAACACACCCTCTATTCCCAACTCTCGCCTTGTATCTCATCAAGTAGAACCAGAAATCAGTATAAAATAATCTATGCTCGTACAACCAAGTACAGGAACTCAACGATACCATACTTGGCCCGTGTTCTAAGCGACAGAGACAATGTTAAGCGTGATACCTATGACTTGCTTTGTTATTAACAACATAATTTTAGGCTCTTTTATTTCTCGCTTATTTTGTATTCTGTAGTGAACTCCCTCTCAAACATACTTAGCTACCTAAATTATTGACATTGGCTTCCTTTTTTGTACTTTACTATATTCCTTCTATTGTGTATCCACTGGTTCCGACTCTATTAGCACTATGAGTATTACAAAATTGTCCTGTCATTAACTATCATGTAATTATTAGTTTTGTGGTTGTTTTTTTGCTTATTTTCTATACTTTTCGGCAATATTAAACTGACGATCATTGGTTGTGAACGCCATAGTCACCACCTTAAAAAAATTTTGTATTATGTAGGATTACTCACACTACCACTATAAACACTGCATTAGACCTGACAATAAAATAAGAAAACAACAACCCTGAAATGTTATTTTATGATTGTTTAGAGTTGTTTCAATCAAATTAACTGACCATCTTGGCGATAAACATTCTTAAACATCATTTCATAACTTCTTGTATGACTATAGCTTTACTGTCACCATGCATAATCATATCATAGCTTCCACTACCCAATATTGAGTTATTATTATGTGATGTTTATTTTCCTTTCTACTTCTTGGCATTTTTTCGCATTTATAATCGTTTTTGTGTTTTTCCTGTTTTTTTTCTGTTGGTGTCTTTAGATTTATTTTTTTTGTTAAATACTCCTTTTAAATGTTTGATAGAATTAGATGCAAATATTGTAGATATGTACTGAAAATTCCACACTGTACCACTGGTACTGTTTCTGGAATAAAGCAAATTATTATTATTATTATTATAAAAAAACAGAGTATGATTCCATTGTGGGTAAAATTTATTTTGATAAAGTCTCATAGTGTAATACAGTAATATTTACTGAGCAATAAATTGTGTTCGAAACGTTGTCATTGGTAAATATCGCCGTATAACACTGTAAGACTTTATCAAAATAAATTTTACCCACAATGAAATTATACTCTACCACCGCAGAGCACAAGTTATATTCTTATATCAACAGAGTAATTTGGCCACATTCTATGCATGTAATTATTTAGGTCTTTAAAACTCTAACAATAACCCTAATTTTTACTGAACCTAACCCTAACGTGAAAATATCCCTAAACTAACTGTAATCTAACTCTAACCAACCGTAATGTTTCCTTTATTAGGTTAACCTAACCTCCACTTGTCCTTGGCTTAAAGAGTAACTTAATCTTTCCCAAACCTAAGCTGAAACTTGCGAGATAACCCATTTAGTAGCATGACACTTTGATGAACATATTTTATTAATGAAAACAACATTAGTTGCCAGGTTTAACTAACGTACTCAGCGAGCGTTTCAAGGTCACCGGTGCGGTCGCACTCCATTGGTAGTTGTTGGCGCTTGAAGTTTAACCTAGCCCTCTGATGATATGTTAACACACTTCCTGGTTTAGTCTCAAATACATTAGTAATACTTATTTCAGAGTAGGTAGTTGCTTGGCATACACAGTTATTCCAAGTCGTGACTATCCTCTCCTCGTTAGGCATAGAGTGTTAGGTAAGGTAGGCTGTGAAGCTGTATCGACGTAGATGATGACATTTACCAACCGGCTATCGATCAAAGGACACGTGTACCACTCAGCAGTTGGCTCTGTTCTTCTTTGTGGTTATCAGATATGACCACTGAAAGGGAAAGACCTGGAGAGTCTAGCTGTCTTTGACCATGTGTGTTTCGACTCTTTCTCCTGTGTTAAATCGTGTAGTGTGCAACGTAGTAAGTTATACTGACGTTATGCGTAGAGTGTTAGGTAAAGAGAGAGAGAGTAGGCCAATAAGGTCATTCGGCTGCTGCATCGATTGAGATGGCTAGGACACTTGTTACGCGTCACATAACCCATGAGAGCCTTCGATTGTTGGCTTAAGCCATTTAGTGGGCGGGGGGGAGTTGAAAATTGCCTAGCTGTGGTGTCCCCAATCAATAATGGCTGGTGACTGGTTAGTAATATGACTCAAAATCGTTGTTAACGTCTCAGATACCCCTTCACTCCTTGTGATATCTTCCAAATCCATTATTTTTTTTCCTTCACGTTCCCCAGTGGAACATAGGGCTTCAAGCTGGTGGCTTGAAGTTTCTTTACCAGTGTTTATTTTACAGCATGGGGTTGCTAGCCTCATGCCCAACCTTTCCTCTTCACCAGCATTACTTCTGGCTTAGTGAGGTAAAGGAGTGCGTCGGCTGGGGATCGAACCCCGGACCATGTGCATGGTCGGCGAGCGTCCTAACCGCTATGCCACCGACGCGAACAGGATGTCGCTGTCAGGACCATGTCGCTGCCAAATCCATTAAATTCCTCATAATTCTCTATCTACTAATTCTTTCTTATGTACTCTTCCACTTCTCACAGTTTCATTTCTGTGTTTCCCTACCTTTTTATGTACTTTTCTGAAGTGTAGGTCGGTCGGTCGGTTGGTTTTTGACATAGAACTTTGCACATATGTACGGCAGTTCAAGTCGCCACACTCCATGTAGCACACAAAGAAAGAGAAGAGAGTAGGAGAAATGCATAATATAGACAGTAAACAGAGGTGTGAGACAAAGGAATAGTAATAACGGAGAACAAAACAGTTTCATTGGAAATCATAAGTCACAAGGAGTGGATGCATCTGCGCCACCCATTGAGAACGATTTTGAGCCATGTCACCAATTGTTTCCAACCATTGGTTTTTACCGTTCCGAGGACCCCAACCGGGAAGTCTACATCTTCCTACGTGGCTTAGACTAACTGTTGTGGATTTCATTGATTGTTGAGGCCATGTTTTGGTTTGACCGCCGCTAGCTCTTTTCCAGCCTGACCCTACATCAGCTAGCATTGCCCGTCGAGGAAGGCGATGGCTAGGCATACTTAAGACGTGTCCTAACCATCTCAGTCGATGTAATTTCACAGTTTCGTCGATTGATTTCCCCGCCTTACCTAGCACTCGACCGATGCCTAACCTCAATATTGCTCACCTTATTATAGTGTAGGAACATAAACTGTGGCACTTACGTGTAATATTCTTCGTTAAAGATTTATTTTAGTTCAGTCCTTGCAGCCGTGGATCCGCTGATCATATGTTCACCCTTAGTCAATTGTTGGAACATTGCCTCATGATCTCATGTCAACGATCGTTGTGTTTCTTGATATTTAGGGATATCTTCGATTCCTTGGATAGAACTGTTCTCTGGAAATCTTGTAGAGAAGAGTGCACCTGAGAAGTTCGTCAACATCCTGAAAACCCTATACAGAAATACCTTAAGTAGAGAGGGGGGGGGGCGTACGACCAACTATCATCATTGTTCCCAAACAGCAGTGGGTAGCACGATCTCTCCATTTCTCTTTAGCTTCGCCATCGATGACATTCTGGAGTCAACTCTGAAGGATATACGTGGTTATGGTGGTTGTGTCGAGATGTGCTTCTTGAGGAAAGACTTTCGACCTCGAGTATGCAGACGATATCTTCTTACTGTGAGATAGCATACAGGCTGATCGAATAGCATTCAATCAGTTGGCGGTCAGTGTCTGTAGGTATGGTATGTGCTTTGCTCCGTCTAAGTGTAAAGTAGTGTTACAAAATTGACAGGAGCCTGTATCTGCACTCACCCTTGCAGGTGAACCGCTTGAAGTTGTTGATAAGTTTGTGTATCTAGGTAGTTGTGTGAGTGCTGGCGGAGGGGTGACGGTTAAGATTTTCAACTGTATCATGAAGGCTAGGATGGCATACGTCAACTTGAGCAACCCTTGGCGACGTTGGCCTAGCTTTCAAAAGCTGGATTTACAATGCTTCGATGCTCTCAGTCTTACCCTATGCCTGTTAAACCTGGCCTCTCCGAGCTGAGGAAGTGCGGTGGCGATTCTGCGTATTCGATCATCGCCGTCTCCATAGTATTGCTTGCGTTCAATGGCACCTGAGGTCCGTCGGCGAGTGTTCGAACACAATGGAGATCACCATTCATTGAGTGTCATCATACTTAAACACCGGCTTCGATGGATTGAACATCTGCTACGAATGTCATCCCAGAGTCTTCCGTACCGGTCTTTTCTGTTCTCTAGCTTTGGGACGGGAAGGAAAAAGCGGAGAGGTGACCGGCGCATGATTTGGCGTCATGGGATGAAGGATATCTGCTGTAGGTTAGCATCCGTTGGTACGTCACGAGTCCATGGTTAAAGTCCGAGAGATAGCTCGAATCGCTGGCTCGAAACGTTATCAGATATGGCCAAGAATCGCAATCAATAACGAAAGTGCTACAATTTCCTTCTTTCTTCCCTTTCTGAAAATAATTCGACGAATGTTGTTCTTTGGTCTTGTTAAATATGACTGCTTTCTTCCCAGGGGTGAAGTTCTTTATTTATTCTCTATCTGTTTTCTTGTTTCATATGTTGTTTTATGATTATTGATTCTCGGAAAATTCCCATTGGGATATATAGAAAATCAAAACAAGTGGTGATTCAGCGAAGAGACTCTTTTCAACAACGAATCTATTGTCAAGCTGTTCAATCATATATATATATATATATGTGGTTATTAAGAAGTTATATCCGGTGAGGGATTTGAATCATAAGTGTAAATACATAAAATAATAATAGCATGAAATGCAATTAAAATGTTTGTGATTATAATCATAGTTAAATGTCAAGTGGCAAAGCCGTTAATGTCATATATAGAATTGGTAGAAGTTAAAATTCATGGGCTGGCCATTGGGAGGAGTCGGGTCCCATTGGCTGAATGGTATACTAGTTTGCCTTGTAACTGGAAGGTCGTGGGTTCGAAGCCTGGTGGTAGGTACGTACTGCCGATGATTCCCAAACTAGGATGAAAAAGCTGTCCAGTACTCCGGTGCTGGTTTCCAATGGTTCTCTAAGTGATATCAATCCGCGATCAACTCGTAAAAACATAACTAATTGACTCGAGTTTTGTCCAAGAGGGTGAAAGAACACTATCCTGTCATTGGTGGGAAATCCATCCTCACACTTGACTAGACGGACTTCACTGGTCACGACTTCTCACTACAACTTCTGAAAACTCCGTCCTGTGGTCAAGTGTGAGGATGCATGTCCCACTGACGACATTGGTTGGTGGTCGCGCTAAATCACGAATTAGTAGAAGTTAGAATTCATGGGTTGGCCATCGGAATCGTGGGTCCCAGTGGCTGAATGGTATACGAGCCAGCTTGCCTTGTAACCGGGAGGTCGTGGGTTCGAACCCTCTGTGGTGGGTGCGTACTGACGATGATTCCCAAACTAGAATGCAACAGCTCTCCAGTACTCCGGTGCTGGTTTTCAATGGTTCTCTAACTGATATCAATCCGTGATCAACTCGTAATTAGATCACTCCAAATTTCACTTGTGAATGTGAATAATTTTCAACTATTTGAGTGTTGTGTGCAGGGATTTGATTATTTACAGGATTTTATCATGAGCTGACATCAGTTAGAGAACCATTGGAAAACCAACAGGGCTTACTGGATAGCTGTTTCGCTCTAGTTCAGGACTCTTCAACTGTACGCACCGACCAACAGGACTTGAACCCACGCCTTTCCGTCTACAAAGCCAGCTTGTAGATCATCAAGCCATTGGGACCTGATCCAATGTCCCATAAATTCCAATTTGTGCCAATTTACGTTACAGCCGGAAGGTCGTGGGTTCAAACGCTGTATATGGGTGTGTACTGATGAGGATTTGCAAACTAGTGGGACGAAGCAGCTGCCCAGTACTCCTAAGTTTCTAAGTACTTAGATGGATCATTAGTTGTCTACTGTTATTTTTACACATTAGTTGATATGATCGGTAATTTGTATCATTATGTTAAGTAGTTGTGTATAGCTGCTTACATGCCTACGACCTTAGGTTTACACACTAAGTGTAGCGAAACACGTGCTTTCTATTTCTTTTTTTATTTCGATATCCATTTTATTTTCTAGAATATTTTGATAGGAAATTTATTCATCATTTATTTCCTTTATTTGCTCACAGATCTTTACTTAGATCTTGATCGAAAGACGTACAAAGCATTAGAGTATAAAAAGGTATCCGCATGTTCTGGTCTTGCAACTTTATTTTCAAAAGCTGGTCGAGCTTTGAATGCTCAAGCAAAAGTAAGTCGACCTTTTTTATGTGTGTGTATGTGGTATTCTATTCTATTATTATTTTTTCCTTTAATTTCTAGAGAAACATAGGGTTTCAGCCGCACGTCTCCACTGCGTTTTCACCTGGCTCCAGGTTTGCCCAAACGCTTTCATTTACTCTTCACATGACCTCCTCGATGACCAACTTGCCGCTACCCATTCGGGTTGGACTTAATCAATGGCCTGGGGTGTGATGTCACTCACTTTATGGTTTGTTTTCTCAGAGTTTGACCAATCCACCTCCATTTCTTCTTGCATATTTGTTGCACAATCGGTTCCTGCTGGGTTGGTTCACTCCCAGAGATCCCTGTTGCTGATCTTTTCTGGCCGGCCATTTGATCTTGAGTGGAATTGAGCGAAGACAGCTGTTGATGAAGGTGTGTAGTTTGTTCGAAGTGCTCTTCGTGACGCGCCGTCTCTGGAACCATAGGAAATAATATATGTATTCTATTATATATGTTATTATTATTGCTCCTTTTGGTTCCGAGTGGAACATAGGGATGGCTTCAACAACACATCTCCACTTTGTTCTGTTATCTGCTGTCCTCTTCAGCTCCCTGGGCCCACGATTACCCATAATCTCTCATCTCCTCCATGCCACCCACTCAACGATGATCCAGTCGTCGCTTCACATTGGTATTCCACTAGAGCAATAGCCTGCATTGAGCACGATGTCATTTGACGGCCTCCTCAACATATGACCGATCCATTTTATTCCCATGTAGTCCTACATATTTTTTGAACAATCAGCTCTTCGTTGGTTTATTGCCAGTCAGAGTGTCTTTTTGCTTATTCTTTCTGGCTGGCCAGTCGGCATCTGTTGCAAATGCTTTTCGTGACATGCAGTTCAAGTTTCTGACCCATATAGAATAGCTGACTGACCGAACATTAGTGTTGAAAATCCGAATCTTGTCGTGTATACTAACTGAGTGCAGAAGATTTCCAAACTGGTTTCAGACTGGTGAAAGTGTATCTTGCCTTTCCGATTCTGGTCATTACTTGACTGGATCCCGGTAGATAGCCGAATGTGTGCCGTCCGTCTGAACGGATCAGTGAAAAGGAGAAACGATTGCACTACTCGCCGATGCCTTTTCGTAGTCTCCGCCTACGCCCCCACTGACTGCAGTTCGGATGAAACGAAGGATGAGTTCTACCAAAAGCTGTCTAGTTTGTTGCGAAAGGCTAAACGCTCAGATATAGTCGTTTTAGCTGGTGACTTTAATGCTCAAGTAGGGAAATTGTGTCAATCTGAGAAGAATGTCGGTGGCACATACGGAATTCCGTGCCAGCGAACCGACAACGGTGACCGTCTCCTACAGTTCTGTTCAGATAATCATTTGTTTCTTGTAAGCACTAACTTCAAACACAAGGAGAGACACTGTTTGACCTGGCGACCCCCATCATCAAATCAACACTGGACACAAATAGACCACATAGCAATAAGCTATCGTTGGCGTGGGTCGGTAGGAGATTGTCGCTCCTTCTGGAACATGTGTGTAGATACCGATCACGCACTGGTCCGCGCTCGTGTGTGTTTACGACTGAACGGACGTAGGAAACAGCTAGCGGTAAACCCATCACGTCCCCAGCTCGATCAGGAAACTAAGTCCCTATTTGAGGAAGAACTAGCTAAACACATATCTGAGTTCGACAGCTGCGCTCACCCTGAAAAAGCCTGGAAGAATATTCAATCAGCCATAGATACAGCTGTAAAAGCTGTGAATAAGGTAAATCCAAAGGTGAGTAAAAACCATTGGATTTCGACCGCCTCATCCGATCTGATAGATGCTAGAAGACTTATTCCGGCGAGCTCCGAATTCAATGAGGAGCGAAAGCTGCACTAAAGGAAACTTACGAAAAGTCCCCGCAAGGACCGTGAACAGTGGTGGTTGACAAAGGCGAAAGAGATAGAAAAAGCATCGGCGATAGGCAACACTAGGCAACTCCTTAGACTCATCAGGGAAACGGGTGGGAGAAGGCAAATCATAAGTGAGACTATTTGTGAGAAAAATGGCTCCTTAATTAGCTCTCAGGATAGACTCCTCGAACGCTGGAAAGAACACTTCGAGGAACAATTTAACTTGCCTACAGCCACACTGAACCACCCCGCTATCCACCAAACACCAAAATGGGATAAAGACACTGATCCGCCGTCTGTAAGTGAGGTCACCAAAGCTATCTGTAATTTGAAACGAGGCAAAGCGGCAGGACCCGACGGAATTATTCCGGAGGTGTTTAAATATGGGGGTGACATACTAGTATATAGTTTGACTAAGGTACTAGGTAACGTCTGGGAATCAGAGACGGTTCCATCAGACTGGGGTAAGTCACTTATTATACCAATATTCAAGAAGGGAGACAAGTCCTCATGTGATAATCATAGAGGAATCAGCCTAACGAACATAGTCTCTAAAATCCTAGGCTCAGTAATCATGAACAGACTAAGCCGAACTCGGGAGGAACAAACGTGGGAAAATCAAGCGGGCTTTAGGCCAGGTAGAGGGTGTATGATCATATCTTCACTCTCCGACAGATCCTAGAACATAGACACACTTTTCAGCGCCCAACAATTGCCATATTTCTTGACTTGAAGGCGGCCTTCGACTCCATGGATCGAGAGGTACTATGGCAATGTTTGACTGTGAAGGGAGTTCCAAGAAAGTACATTGCACTAATCAAGGAACTCTACTCAAACTCACGTAGCTGTGTAAGGGCTTATGGGGAATTGTCATCTGAATTGATTACAACCAGTGGTGTCCGTCAAAGATGTCCACTTTCCCCTTTTCTGTTTAACTTCATCATAGATATGCTAATGGAAGTATCCTCAACTGAACTTAACGACTTAGGAATCGACTTGTTACCAGGGAATAGTCTTATAGACTTAGAATACGCAGACGACATAGTCCTGTTAGGGGAGGACGCTGACAAAATGCAGAGTCTTCTGAACACGTTGAGCAGCAATCTTCGTATGTTTGGCATGCGATTCGCCCCTGTAAAATGTAAGAAGCTGCTACAGGACTGGACTACGTCAACTCCTAGCTTAGTGGTAGGGAGTGAAGTGATAGAACATGTTGACCACTTCACCTATTTGGGAAGTTGTATCAGCACCAATGGATTGATTGGTGACGAAATCACAGCACGGATCCAGAAAGCTCGGGCTGCTTTCGCTAACTTACACCGTCTCTGGCGTAGGCGTGACATCTGGCTATCAACCAAGGGACGTGTATACTGCTCAGCAGTTCGCTCCGTCCTTTTCTATGGTAGTGAGACGTGGCCATTGAGAGCGGAAGACATGAAGAGATTGTCTGTTTTTGACCACAGATGTTTACGATCTCTTTCTTACGTTAGGTGGTATAATGAGGTAAGTAATGTTGACGTTAGGCGTAGTGTTGGGCAAAGAGGGAAAATCACTCGAAGAGGCTATGAAGTTACATAGATTGAGATGGTTAGGTCACGTGCTGCGCATGCCTAGCCATCGTCTCCCCCGACGGGCATTACTAGCTGATATATGTGCAGGTTGGAAAAGAGTAAGTGGTGGCCAAACAAAAACATGGCCTCATCAATCCATGAAATCCCTGACAGTTAAACTGAGTCAGGTAGGGAGATGCAGACTTCCGGTTTGAGGCCCTCGGGACTCTAAGAATCAATGGCTGGAGACAATAAGTGACATGGCTCAAAATCGTTGTCAATGGCGCAGATGTATTCAGTCTCCTTAACCTTCATATTCCTTTCTACCATTACTCATTTTGTTTCACTCTTATACTTATCTAAATTCTGTTGATTCTCTTCACTCATGTTCTTGTCTACCTTTGTGTGCTATTTGGAACGTGGCAACTCGAACTGCTGCACTTCGGTGCGAAGTTCTATGTTGAATCCAGCAGCCAGCAGCAGCAGCAGCCTTTCTGACCTCATTTTGTACACCAGTGTTTCAATAATAAGTGTGGCTTATTGATATAAGGATAAAACTTGGGCACTGTGGTAATAGAGTGTAATTCTATTATGGATAAAATTTTATTTTGATAAAATCACACAGTGTGTTATACAGTAAGTAATATTTACTGATGACCACGTTTCGAGCACAATTTATCATTGTTACTCATAATCATATCAAGGCACTACTCACACAACTCACCTTCTTGCTTCATTTGTGCACATGAGTAAAAATTGATGATTAGACATTTGACTGAATAAAATCAGTAATATAAGATAAAGTACATTTGGAAATGATAATATTAGTGTTATCAATAAAATACAATCTGATGGGAAATAAGGTCTTTTTATAGTAAAATAAATAAGTAACTTGTTAGAATGTTATAATGTATGTGAATTGAAACAGAATTTTAAGATTATTTATTATCCTCTGATTTGACTGGTATTAATATCTTCCGTATCTCTGGTATTTGCGTTGGGTCACTTCTATTGAATGTGCTGTGTTGGGTGTGTAGACTCGATGAACCAGGCAGAATTCAGTGATCACACACACACTCTCTCCACCTACCTATATTACTTTTTCGAATTTTAACTCTACCCCACCCACCCTATTGTGTGGTGGTGTGTTAATGTACTTTATCTGATATCGATTTTATTCAAATGTCTAATCAACTTTTGGTCAAGTTAAACTTTAAGCACCACCAACTACCAATAGAGTGCGACCACACCAGTGACCTTGAAGCACTTACTGAGCATGTTAATGAAACCTGGCAACTAATGTTGTCTTCATCAATAAAATATGCTCATCGAAGTGTTGGGTTATTAAATGGGTTATCTGGCAAGTTTCAGCTTATCTGTGCGAAAGATTAAGTTACGGTTTACGCCGAGGACAAGTTAGGGTTAGGTTGACCCAACAATTGTTGGGTTGAGAGGCAACAGTAGGTTTGGTTCGAGTTAGATTGCAGTTAGTTGAGGGATATTTTCACCTTAGGGTTAGGTTCAGGAAAGATTAGTGCTATTGTGAGGGTTAGAAGACCTAAATAATTACATGCATAAAATGTGGTTAAATTACTCTGTTGACATAAGAATAGAACTTGTGCACTGCGATGGTAGAGTGTAATTTCATTGTGGGTAAAATTTATTTTGATAAAGTTTCACAGTGTTATACAGTCATATTTACTGATGACGACGTTTCGAGCACAATTTATTGCCCAGTGAATATTACTGTATTACACTCTGAGACTTTATCAAAATAAATATTACCCACAATGGAATTATACTCTGATGATACTCCAACCTAAAACTGAGAGCTATTTTTATCACATGTTGTGAGAGGAAGGTATCCTCTGTAACACTTTTCTACAGTTTTTATGCATTTTTTTTCATAAATATATGTATTCCACAGACAAAAATGCCTCCTTCGTGTGGTTGGTGCGTTGTTCGAGGTCATTCACTGATTGGTAGTTAATGGTGCTTAAAGTTTAACTTTGCCCAATTTTTACTCATGTATATAAATGAAGCAAGAAAGTGAGTTGTGTGAGTAGTGCCTTGATATGATGATTATGGGTGGCAATGATAAATTGTGCTTGAAACGTCGTCATCAGTAAATATTACTTACTGTATAACAACACACTGTGTGATTTTATCAAAATAAAATTTTTATCTATAATGGAATAAGTGTAGCTCATTGACTGATACATCGAAAATCTGTTCCGGTTAACAGAGTTCTAACTGACTAACTAACTATCTAATAGCGTAAGCGCTTACACATTTGAACACATTTCATAGTCGTACTCAGCAGAGATGTTTGATACACTGATTGGTCTAATCTTTGGTGTTGGTCCATACTGAAATCTATGGGTGAATTGTTCGCAATGTGGTTACCAAGCTAGGTGGTTGAAGGCAATCACAGGAAGATCTGGTCCTCAGTTTCACTCTTGTTGCTGTCACACTCATCAGCAAGACGTATCTTGTAACACTGAAAGAACTCATATCCTATTTATGATATGAACCTGTGTCACTCAATCGGGGATGTCACCACTGAACTACTCGAGATGGCACTTGTCATCCTGTAGGACGGCTGTGGATACACTGATCTTTCTCTGGAGAAATTGTCTTTTAAAGATGAGTGGTGGGCGGGGGGAATTAACTACCACTCAGGTATATTAGCTCATTCACTTCAGGTTGTTTTATTATATGGAACAAAGTAAATACTGTCTTCAAGTATTCCACAAGCATTTTTAAACGAAGATTCATTTTGATTACCATTTTATTATTAATATTTTTCTGATATCTATAGGCTGCAAAAATTCCTGGTAATATGTCAGGTGATGGTTGGCAAACTGGTGGACTTCTTGTAGTTGAAAAAGGTTTGTAATCTCATTGTTTTATCTTATCTACGTGTCATTTTTATTTCTGATATTTTTATTGTTCATGTTAATACATACGAAGCTGAATAGGCCCAGTTACTAGTGAGCATCTCATTGATATTCAAGTATTGGTTTGTAGGGATTTGATTGATTGGTTATAGGATTTCATTATGAGCTGACATCAGTTAGAGAACCATTGGAAAACCAACACGGAGTAGTGGACAGCTGTTTCCTGCTAGTTTCGGACTCTTCAGTGGTTCTCACCCACCTACAGGGTTCGAACCCAGGACCTTCTTGTTACAAGGTAAGCGAAATTGTAGACCATTCAGCCATTGGGACGCGATCCAATGACACCAGTTCATGAATTCCAACTTCTACCAATTCACGATACAGCGCGACTGGCACTAGCCAATTTCATCGCTGGCGAGCATTTCTCCTCACTTCCTGACTGGATGGACCCTACTGGTTACGACTTTCCATCAAAGCTCCAGGCAACTTCGTTTTGTATTCAGCCACTTGATAGCATCACATTAATTTTCAAGAGTGGGTTTTTGGGAATCTTATTTGTTTTAAGTATGATCACGGATTGATATCAGTCAGAGAACCGTTGAACACCAGGAAGCACTGGACAGGTGTTTCATCCTAGCTGAAGACTCTCCGGCAGTACCCATTCACTGGGGCTCGAACCCAGGACCTTCCGGTTGCAAGGCAAGCGAAATAATTAGTTCAGTAGGCAGATAAATGTTGCGACATGATGCCATTTCGTAGTTTTTTTTTTATAGTGGCTTTACAACTAGCATGGCTCATCACAATAGTAAAATAAAACGTATAAGCAACTATTCAGTTATATAAAACAAAAGTACATACCAATAACCAATCATGTTTTAGTAAGTAGTCCATGGTAGGCGAAAGTTGAGATCTGTTGTTTTTTTGTACACATAGTTTGAGATGCATTGGCTTAATGCAAAGTGTGATGATATTAGATGGTTGGAGGCAATCGGCCACAGGAAGCCTTGGACCTAGGTTTCGTGCTAGTTGGCACTCACCAGTCAGCAAGGCGTATCTGCAACCTTGAAGGAACTCATGTCCCTTCTGAGATTCGAACCCGCGTCACCCAGTGCTGCAGTCAGAGACGTTACCACTGAGCTATTCGGACTCGCGATTGACCTCATGTAGGACTGTAGTGGATATTTTGATTTGGCACTAGTAACTAGTGTGATGCGTCTAGTCCTCTCTTTGGTGCAGACTGAATTCTATCAGTCAGGTTGTAATGTGGCCACAATTCTAGGTAGCTCGTGCCAACTAGCACGAAACCTAGGTCCAAGGCTTCCTGCCGATAGCCTCCAACCATCTAATATCATCACAAACAATGTACACCGTGATGGCGAGCTACGTGGAATGGTGGCCACATAACAACCTGACTGATAGAATTCAGTCTGCATCAAAGAGAGGACTAGACGCATAACACTAGTTACTAGTGTCAAATCAAAAATTAATGCAAAGTGCTTCTATCACTATCTTTAATAATAACCTTGAATTTAAGTCATGTGAAGTAATGGGGGAAGCCGTCATTAATATTGATTTTATGACCTGACGTGAATATAAATACTTTGCAATAGATGATCCTGGACTTGTCAGTAGGTTAATTACATTTTTGAGTTTACTATGTGACCTGATAACCATTCAGGAACATGTTTTTTTTCGACAAGATTGTTGGGACATTATATTGATTCTACTTATATGTGTGTCACCGCAACTGCAGGTGAACTTGTAAATACAAGTAAATTCTATTGATTTACGTTCTTTAATCTTAGGCGTAGCAACTGAACATTTTCTAGATGTAAGGTGAAAGGGATCTGGCGTAGATTGTGGACTTGGTAGTTGAATGAAGTCCTTGTGCTGTCAGTTGCGTGATTTGATCACCTTTGAATGGTAGTTTAATAAAGATAACTTTCTTTTGTTATGAAGGTGTGTCTTGAAAGGCCAGTCTCGGATTATTGTGACATACAATAAAGTTTAACCGGTGGATGGTGACTAGCAGTGGAATCTAGGATGCGCATTTTGTCCTATTTGGGACTTGTCATCTGAATGTACCTGCATTCCCCAGTGAGTGATGACGTTCCACCGAGGCTCGAACCCAGTGCTCATAGTTTCAAACGTCAAAGCGGTATCCACTAGAGCAATTGGGCCACGAGAGCCACCTCTCGTGCAACGGATCATATTACTTATTTAATTGAGTTTTAGATTTTCCCGTCGATTGATTGGACTGAAGTGCTCGGTCTCAGGTTGACATGTCCCAAATTGGACGAAATGCGCGTTGTCCTGGATTCCACTGCTAGTCAGTCACCATCCACCAGTTAAATTCTAATTACATGCCGAGACATCGTCGAAGCATCTGCACAAGAAGCCGATATGTCAACCTGACACCGAGCACTTCGGTCCAATCAATCAACGGGAAAATCTAAAATTCAATTAAATACAATGAAGTCTTCAGGATATCCATTAGCCAATAAAACTGAATGTATACACCGTAGGTCATCCATTAATTTGTTGCTTCTGCAAATTTTATGGGCCATTGAAAACAAGTGTTTCTCTAGAGAGCGTCTGTAGTATTATTATACGTGTTCCCTTGGGTTCCGAGTGGAACATAGGACTTCAGAGGCACGTCTCCACTTTATCCTATTTTCTGCTGTCCTCTTTAGCTGAGCCCACGATTGCCCTTGGTCTATCATCTTCTCCTCGCACTATCTCCTCCATGTCGGCGTTACCCGTCGTTGCCTTTTCGTAGTCTCCACTTACACCCCAACAGACTGCAGTTCGGATGAATTGAAAGATGACTTCTACCGGAAACTGTCTAATTTGATGCAAAAAGCAAAACGCTCAGACATAGTTGTTTTAGCAGGCGACTTCAATGTCCAAGTGGGGAAGCTATGCCAGACTGAGAAGTATGTAGGTGGTACGTATGGAGTTCCCTGCCGACGAACCGACAACGGTGATCGTCTTCTACAGTTTTGCTCAGATAATCATCTGTTCCTAGTCAGCACTAACTTTAGGCACAAAGAGAGACATTGCGTGACCTGGCGAACTCCATGACCAAATCAACGCTTGACTCAGATAGAATATATAGCGATAGGGTATCGTTGGTGAGGGTCAGTAGAAGACTGCCGCTCCTTTTGGAACACGTGCGTAGACTCCGATCACGCTCTGGTCCGCGCACGTTTATGCTTACGATTAAACGGACATAAGAAATTGATGGCAGCAAAACAGTTATGTCCCCAACTAGATCGAGACACTGAGTCCTTATTTAAGGAAGAAATAGCGAAACGTGTATCTGAGGTCGACAGCAAGACCCCTCCTGAGGTAGCCTTGCATAACACACAGTTAGCTGTAGACAGAGCTGTAAAAGCTGTTAATAACCTGAAACCTAAACTTAGTAAGAGCCATTGGATTTCTACCACCTCATCCGAACTGATTGACGCAAGAAGACTGATTCCGGCGAGCTCCGATTATGATGAGGAGCGAAAGCTACTCAAACGCAAGAAGTCTTCGTAACGACCGTGAACAGTGGTGGACGACAAAAGCGAAAGAGATGGAAAAGGCATCGGCGATTGGCAACACCAGACAACTATTCAGGCTTATCAGGGAAACAGGTGGCAAAAGGCAAATGATAAGTGAAACAATCTCTGAGAAAAATGGCACCATAATTAGCTCCCAGGATAGACGACTGGAACGCTGGAAAGAACACTATGAGGAGCAGTTTAATTGGCCTACAGCCACACTTAACCTGCCGAACATCCAACACCTCCCTGAATGAGATATAGACACCGGTTCCTCCGTCCCTAACTGAGGTTACTAAGTCTGTCACTAGTCTGAAACGAGGCAAAGCAGCAGAACCGGATGGATTGACTCCAGGGGTGTTTACGTACGGTGGAGACAGTTTACTCTCTGCGTTTACTGAGGTACTAGGCAGCGTCTGGGAATCAGAGGAAGTCCCGTCGGGTTGGGTTGAGTCATTGATCATCCCGATATACAAGAAGGGAGACAAGTCTTCCTGTGATAATCAGAGGGAGATTAGCTTGACTAATATGGTATCTAAAGTTCTAGGCTCAATCATTATACGTAGACTAAGCGGTCCACGGGAGGAACAAAAACGAGAGAACCAGGAAGAGGGTGCATTGATCATATATTCACCCTTCGACAGATTCTGGAACATAGGCCTACTTACTGGCATCCAACAATCGTTATATTTCTTGACCTAAAGGCGGAATTCGATTCTGTCGACCAAGAGGTACTATGGCGATTCTTGACTGTAAAGGGAATGCCAAAAAAATGCATTGCACTGATGAAGGCACTCTACTCGAACTGATGCAGTCAGCCAGGTGAGGGCATACGGTGAGTTGTCATCTGAAGTGGTGACAACTAGTGGTGTCCGACAGGGATGCCCAATATCCCCGTTTCTATTCAATTTCATCATAGATGTACTAATGGACTTAACCCTAACTCACTTCAGAGACTCAGGGATTGACTTGTTACCAGCTAATAATCTCGTTGACTTGGAATATGCAGATGATATTGTCCACCCTCCTAGGTGAGGACTGTGAGCTGTGCAGCAATCTTCGAATGTTTTGCATGCGATTCGCTGCCGCCAAATGTAAGATGATGTTACAGGACTGGACTACATTGACCTACTACTAGATTAGAAGTGATTGGTTGGTGGTTGGTGGAGCGTGTTGACCACTTCATTTATTTGGGGAGTTGTATCAACCAGTGCCAGCGGGTTGATCACTGACGAAATCTCGATACGGATACAGAAGGGTCGTTTCGAATATGCCAGTTTACGCAGTCTCTGGCTTAGTTGACGTGATATGCGGCTGGCTGTCGACCAATGGGCGTGTGTACTGCTCAGCAGTTTGCTCCGTCCTCCTCCTTTATGGCTGTGAGACCTGGCTATTGAGAGTGGACAACATGAAAAGCTTGGGTGTTTGTCTTCGATCATAGGT